ACCTGTTCAGGGGGTGGAAATCACATTACATTGGTGACTCACAGCTCGACGGCTCCACTAGATGTCACTGGGGAGTTACATTTCAGCCATGATGTTGCCCTCGCTAATCATGAAGCCGTGGATGGATTTTATAATTACCATAAAATGAATTTAGCCTCTAATGTGCCTGCGCTGCATATGGCCGCCTCACACGAGCCATAAATAAATTACAAATGTTGCAGGGTGAGCAACTGTGCACTAACACTATTAGGGAGTTTCTAAAATCCTTGATTAGATTAACCCAATGTAAAAGGTCCTGTGTCTGCGAGTTCACCGAAATCTCCAAAATTTCCCAGAGCGCTTCCTAATCCATCTGGAGATTTGGTTGGAGTGACTAATGTAACCTGTGTGTTTAGTTGGAGCTAAAATACTGTGATGTGGATCGATGCGTTTTAAGGAGGCGTTGTCATATTCTTGGCACAGATCTGGAGAGTTTTAATGTGCACAATTAGGTTTATCTAAGCGATGAGATCATCGTATCAGATGTACTGAGAGTCGTGAGGGAGTACAGGGTGTGGGTGTGATCGGTGACTCACAGGCATGGCCTGGCTGGGATCTTCTCCTGCCATGAACTGCACCTTCACTGCAATGTTCCTCACTGAACCCTGCCGGCTATTGAAGTTGACAGTCTGAGGGTAAATGAACAACAGGTTCCTGAGGGGGAGAGAGGGGGAAATACATTCAATAACGAACCCTTTTCAATCAAACCAGCAATGGTTTATGAGAGGCCTGTAGATGATATAAACCTCAAAGTTCAGAACTATTACGCACACTCCCATTAAAGTTTGCAAAGTCTTTGAAACTTTTATACTTGTAACTTTTATTTTCAGTCCACTTCTCCCAATTTCTCACTGGTTAAACACAGTTTGCGTCCTTGTTTCAACACAGAAATGAAGACCATGCTTGAGTGTGCACCACTAAGGACAATAGATTGAGCTTACGGAGTCACTAAAACGAGTTTCTCGAGAGAGAGAGAGAGAGAGAGAGAGAGAGAGAGAGAGAGAGAGAGAGAGAGGTGCTTCCTTGTTTGAAAGCAAATTTAGACTTTAGCAATGCAAGCGTCCTCAATTTGGCAACTGAAAAAGACACTGCATTGCGACTGTCACACTTCCTTGAGCAGCACAAACATTTTCAACTATACAAGGATGTTGGAATGATCTGGGGACTGAAAATGAGGCTTTACAATGACTGTAAAACGTATTTATTAAACAGTCATTCAATCAGCAATGAATATTTGCAACATTAATAAGAGATTCATACATTTCTTTCAAAACCATGTCTGAACCGGTGATTTCAAACTTTTGAACGGCAGAATAAATGCTCAGTTTCAGTGCAAACTGTTCAAAGGGCTTTAAACGATTCCAGACGATGAATAAGGGTCTTATCAAGAGAAACGATCGCTCATTAAAAAATAATTAACAAAGTTTAAGTTTCATAAGCTCAAATGGTCGCCTTGCTCTGTTCTGTGACGCGTGTTCGTGACTCTCCTGTTTGAATTCGTTTATCAAAATGAACGAATCTTATTTCGTGTCATTTGGTTCATTCAACAAATGAAATGAACGAATTGATTAGAAAAAAAGATTTGTTCATTTTGATTGAAACGAGTTTGAAAAGGAGAGTCACGAACGTGCATCTCAGAACAGAGCAAGGCGACCATTTGAGCTTATAAAACGTACACGTTAATTTTTTTCTTTAATGAGCGATCGTTTCGCTTGATAAGACCCTTATTCATCGTCTGGAATCGTTTAAAGCCCTTTGAACAGTTTGCAGTTTGCACTGAAACTGTCTTTTGGATCTTGAACCGTTTGGTTACCAGTAAAGTCCATTATATGGAGAAAAATGCTGGAACGTTTTCATCAAAAATCTTCATTTCTTTTCGACTGAAGAAAGAATGACGTGGACATCTTGGATGACATGGGGGTGAGTAAATTATCAGCAAAAGTTTTTTTTTTTTTTTTTTTTTTTTTTTAAGTGAACTACTCCTTTAAAAACTCCTTTTGGCTGTTGGCTGGTACAAAGAAAATGCTGAGTCTCAAAATTACTTGAAAGGTAAATTCATTTATTCAAACTGAACAGTACGGAAGACAGCTTAGATGGATGCACAAAGCTGATTGGCTGTTGCATGTTGGTCTATTTTGTAGTCGTAATTACAGTGAATTATAATTGGACTTGCGAAATAAGGAACTATAACACCACGCAATAAAAAAAAAAAAAAACACATTCCAAAGCGCTGCGGGAGGACGTAGGAAAATTAAGAGCTCTTTAAAACGATTTAAGACCTATTTTTAAGGCCTTAAATTGTGACTTTTTAAGACATTTTAATGTCAACTACTTCAAAACCTTCACAATTAAGTTTACTTAAGGTTAAGTTTCAGCTCATGTAAAAAGTCACGTTTACAACTGCTACAAGCAGTTAAGTGTTAACTTTTAATGTAATGGTTAAACTTCAATTCCTAACAGTGGTGGAATATAACGAAGTACAAATACTTCGTTACTTTACTTAAGTACATTTTTCACGTATCTTTACTTTACTTAAGTACAATAAATAGTGCCTACTTTTTACTTTTACTTCGTTACATTTTGCAGCAATTATTATACTTTCTACTCCACTACATTTCTACAACTTCTGTTACATTTTCGTTACATTTTCTGATCAGTTTTTCCTCTGCCAAAACGTAATCTGACCGTCTGTTCGTTGCACGTTTGTCTCACCAGTGACGTTTGGTTGCCATAGATACAGTATATCAACCCGGTCACACTAAATGCGTCTCACACGCAGTGTTTTTTTATTGTGCAACTCATACGCGAAAATTTGTTTTTACGTGCATAAGAAACACACCGTGTGTAATATATGTTTGGTTTGGTTAGGATTATGGCAAGCCAAGAGGTTCAGAATTACACCATAAATGAATCGCGTTTACTGCCAAACATATTAACATATAGTAAGGATAAGCATGATATTGCCTAATTGCAAGCTTGTTTCAGAAATGGTGACATTTTTTTCCATCATTATTGAACATTATTATAGGAGTAGGCTATTAGGTTGAATGAGTTAGAATTAAATGTTTTATTAATCATTAGAAAATAGACATTAAGATAATAAATTGTTATGCAAGTACTTTTACTTTTAATACTTAAAGTACATTTAAAATAAAGTACTTTTTACTTTTTACTTAAGTATGGTTGTCATTGTGTTACTTCTACTTTTACTAAAGTAAATATTTATCTGGGTATTTGTACTTTTACTTAAGTACTGAGATTCAGTACTTCCTCCACCACTGATTCCTAATGTAAATCAATCAAATTTATGTCTATTATAAACAGTTATAATAGTATAGTCACAACTACTAATGTGAGCAGTTACGTTACATTTCTACTATTATAAACGGATAGATTTCAAATTTTAATGTAAATAGTTAAACTTTAATGTCCAATGTAAACGGTCAAGTTTTTCAACTACACTGTAAAAAAATATTGATGGTTTAACTTAAAAAAGTAAGTAACCTGGTTGCCTTAAAATTTTAAGTTCATTGAACTGTAAAAAGTGAGTTAATACAATGAAGGAGATTAATTTAACCACCAGAAACTCAAAATTATATGTTATCTGAACTAAATAAATTATTTAAGTTGATTTGACAAAAGAAAAAATGTTGTGATTACTACACTGTGAAAAAATATTGTTGGTTTAACTTAAAAAAGTAAGTAGCCTGGTTGCCTTAAAATTTTAAGTTCATTGAACTGGAAAAAGTGAGTTAATACAATGAAGGAGATTAATTTAACCATCAGAAACTCAAAATTATATGTTATCTGAACTAAATAAATTATTTAAGTTGATTTGACAAAAGAAAAAATGTTGTGATTACTACACTGTGAAAAAATATTGTTGGTTTAACTTAAAAAAGTAAGTAACCTGGTTGCCTTAAAATTTTAAGTTCATTGAACTGGAAAAAGTGAGTTAATACAATGAAGGAGATTAATTTAACCATCAGAAACTCAAAATTATATGTTATCTGAACTAAATAAATTATTTAAGTTGATTTGACAAAAGAAAAAATGTTGTGATTACTACACTGTGAAAAAATATTGTTGGTTTAACTTAAAAAAGTAAGTAACCTGGTTGCCTTAAAATTTTAAGTTGATTGAACTGGAAAAAGTGAGTTAATACAATGAAGGAGATTAATTTAATCATCAGAAACTTAAAATAATAAGTTATCTCAACTAAATAAATTATTATAAAGTTGATTTGACAAAAGAAAATATGTTGTGATAAAAATATTTTTTTTACAGTGTACTAATTTAAATGGTTAAGCTTCAATTCCTATTGTAAATCTAGAGAACAATATATATGGAGAGAAAGATCAATCGTATATTTTAATTATCTTCATTTGAAGGCTTTCTCAGCATGGGATTAATTCTACCAATGAATTTCATGCAATTTATTCTATTAACATTCTTGACCACTCTATTCTAAACAAGAGGAGCACCGTGACACTCTTTCATCTGCATGTTTGAGGAACAGGGACAGAAATAGACACGAAAGGCACAACACTTGACTTGGCCCCAAATCAAACAATGAACATGAGGCAACCGCATGAATATATAGCCTAGGCCCTACTGTGATGCTAAATATGATCTTTAAATAAATAATGCAGCAATCGTTTACAATCTCTTATTAATATAGTCCTAAAATGGCAGTGTGTCACAAAGGGTTCACTGGATGATCTGAGCACCTCTAGGGTTAAAGGAGATGAGTGCATTGGCATACAGGCTGCAAAGGACATCTCTGGTTAAATACCACAAAAAATGTGCATGTCCAACATGTCAAGGTCTCTCTCTCCAACACACAAAGCTGTAAGCGCAGCTCTGATAGGCCTCTCTCTCAGCTGATTTCCCAATGTCCAACATAGTCACAGCTTATAAAAGCAGCACCATGTTGCAATGCACGCACATTAAAACAGCCTGTTTGCTTGCACCTGTGGCGGTCCCAGTTTGGTTTTTAAGGAGAGAACAGGATGCAGGCAGTTTTGTGCGTGCTGTGTCTGACTCTGTGTGCGAACAGGGTCTCCACATCTCCGCTGAAATCTTTCCAAACGGGGGGAAACCCGGCCTCCTTGGATGACGTGAACATCCTTATGTATGGCGTGGTGCAGTTCAGCGAGTCCCTGCACCACATATACCAGAGCACAGAGGCCAGGATCGCCCGCGTCATGAAAGCCGTGAGCCGAACCGAGAACGAGGTTAAGAGACTGGGGCACGACACTGAGGAGGCTGCTCAAACCGAGCGACAAATCAAAGAGAAACTTCAGCTCATTCAGGTGAGCCTATGAGTCACATGACAAGCATTGATGACAGACTGAAATACTAGCCCGACTGTTTGGAAATAACTGCCCCAATTAACAGAAGTGCTAGCAGTGCTAACAGCTTTGTCTATGAATATTAAAGGAGTAGTTCACTTTAAAAAAAACTTTTGCTGATAATATTCTCACCCTCATGTCATCCAAGATGTCCATGTCTTTCTTTCTTCAGTCGAAAACAAATTAAGGTTTTTGATGAAAACATTCCAGGATTTTTCTCCATATAATGGACTTCAATGGGAACCAAATGGTTCAAGGTCCAAAAGACAGTTTCAGTGCAAACTGTTCAAAGGGCTTTAAACGATTCCAGACGATGAATAAGGGGCTTATTAAGCGAAACGATCGCTCATTTTGATGAACGAGTTCGAATAGAAGAGTCACGAACGCGCATCACAGAACAGAGCAAGGCGACCACTTGAGCTTATAAAACTTAATCTTTGTTATTTATTTTTTTAATGAGCGATCGTTTCGCTTGATAAGACCCTTATTCATCGTCTGGAAACGTTTAAAGCCCTTTGAACAGTTTGCAGTTTACACTGAAACTCTCATTTGAACCTTGAACCGTTTGGTTCCCATTGAAGTCCATTATATGGAGAAAAATCCTGGAATGTTTTCATCAAAAACCTTAATTTCTTTTCGACAGAAGAAAGAAAGACATGGACATCTTGGATGACATGGGGGTGAGTAAATTATCAGCAAAAGTTTTTTTTTTAAAAGTGAACTACCCCTTTAAGCAGAGTGAAGTGGGGTAAGCTGTGCCATTTTTCACTTAAGTTATCCTCTATGCAAGGAGTAAATCTAAATTCCCCAATTACATACATGCATTACTATTAGTGTTTCATTATATTTTCCGTTTTATTTGATTCAAGAACATTTTGAATGCTGTCATTATTGATATGAATATCATTTTTAGTTAACCCACTGTCATAGTTTACCCCAAATGATCCGACACACTTTACCCCACAGTTACCATTCTGGTTTTATAAGTTTTGGCTGTAATAAATAAACATATGTGGTCTGGTCTGTTTTGCAGGCTCAGATGAAAGCACTGCAGATTCAGGTCCAGGAGAACAGAGGAACGGTCACCAGGTTGGAGCTGGAGGAGGCAGAGCTAAAGAAAAAACTAACCGTCCTGGAGGAAAACCTAAACAACTCCATCCCAGACACGATCAAGGTAGCTGAGACGCAGAACTGCCTTTCAATTAACACACTTACAGCTTTATCTGTAAATAACCGATGATATCCTTCTGACAGGGCACGACACTTAAAAACATCTCTATCCTGAAGGATCTGACGAAGTGGACCCAAGAACAGAAACTGAAATTGGAGAAGCAAAACCAGCAGCTGGCTGATTTACAGAAACAGGTTAGCCTGAGCGCAGATTTACTATTAAACATGTGACAATCGGTAGATCATCAGCTCATGCTAGTTCTTGCTTCTTATTTCAGAATATGGTGTAACCACTAATATCACCTACGAGGAGGAACTGCAATCCTCATCAACACTCCATTCATTGCACGGCAAACGGATCTCACCTACTGCATGTTCATTAAAGACACAGACGTCCACTTTGCCAATCACTTTATACGCCTCAGGAAACACGAGCAGAGCGAATTTCTGTGTAAAATATTTGTAAAAACTGTGTGAATGCAATTCCTAACCACAGAAACAAACATTTTACTATTTTCTTAATGTTATAATATGGATAATATGTTTATAAAAGCACAAAACATAATTATCATATAATATATATCTGTATATGTATTTTTGGTTTGTAACTTATTTAATAAAAGTATAATGAGTGATTTGGTGTCAACGAGATGAAAAAAATACACCATTTATTAACACAAATATGAATGAGATTTGTGAACAGAGTTTGTTTCTGTTAGTCACACAAGAGTTTCTCACCAAAGACGGTCTATAAATGGGATAAAGTGCAATGTGCAAAATGCCAGAACAAAAGTCTCGCCTTCTAAATAATAGAACCAATCGCCAATTCGTATTCATTGCATTCGCTGCCTTTAGAAGCTCCAGTTGCAATGGAAATTATGGGACAGTTGTTGTCAGATTTCAGTGATGATTTCAAATATGAAATTTAATCAAAAGCTTGAATAGTTTCAAGAAATAAGAGTTTCAAAGATGGCCACGAGTGAAATGACTTGCTTTAAAGGGACTTTTGCTTTCACCTATCATACGAATCCACACTCAGAATGTAGTTTTATGATACATTATTAAACTTGTAGGACACTTTCAAGGAGTAGTTCACTTTAAAAAACAAACAAAAAAAAAACTTTTTTTTCTGATAATTTACCATATAATGGACTTCAATGGGAACCAAACGGTTCAAGGTCCAAAAGACAGTTTCAGTGCAAACTGTTCAAAGGGCTTTAAATGATTCCAGACGATGAATAAGGGTCTTATCAAGCGAAACGATCGCTCATTTAAAAAAAATAAATCAATAAAAGTTTAAGTTTTATAAGCTCAAATGCTCGCCTTGCTCTGTTCTGGGATGCGTGTTTGTGACTCTCCTGTTCGAACTCGTTCATCAAAATGAACGAATCTCTTTTCGAGTCAATTCGTTCATTTCGTTCATTGAATGAACCAAATGACACAAAAAAGATTCGTCATTTTGATGAACGAGTTCAAACAGGAGAGTCACTCACAAACACGCATCCCAGAACAGAGCAAGGCGACCATTTGAGCTTATAAAACTTAAACTTTGTTCGTTTTTTTTTTTTTTTAAATGAGCGATCGTTTGACTTGATAAGACTCTTATTCATCATCTGGAATTGTTTAAAGCCCTTTGAACAGTTTGCACTGAAACTGTCTTTTGGACCTTGAACCGTTTGGTTCCCATTGAAGTCCATTATATGGAGAAAAATCCTGGAATGTTTTCATCAAAAACCTTAATTTCTTTTCAACTGAAAGAAAGAAAGACATGGACATCTTGGATGACATGGGGGTGAGTAAATAATCAAGTGAACTACACCTTTCAGATACATGTCTGTGTGTGCACTGACCTGTAGGTAGTGTGTGGGGTGTAGACGTAGCGAGCGGGAAACTCCAGCACCTCTTTAGTGGGGCGCACGCGTGGGTCAGGGTAAGGCTTCACATGAAGCAGCTCTGGAGACAGACAGTAGTGAGGGGCTTCTGGAGCCGGGGAGATGTCTATCTTCAACTGAGCTGGACGGAGAAAGAGGCAGACGGGGTTTGATAAAATGCTTAAATAGTATAACGGAGAAAAAAAAAAAAAAAGTGCAGACAGGTACCCGTCACAGGTCTGAGTCGACGCAGGACAGATGACGGCCTCCTCATGTCCGCCAAGAACTTATATAAGTCCTCATCACTCAGTCGGTCCCCCTCCTGTAGCGCCACAGAAATACCCAGCATTCATTTAGTGAGGGAAACAATACATCATGCTAATACACAACCATCAGCAGAAACACAAGATCTGACCTGTTTGAAGAAATTGGTGACAGTGAGAGTGGCTGGCCGGAAGTTTGTGAAGTTGCACATGTCCTCTCCAACACTCATCCTCTCAAAACCTTTCTTCTTCCTCTCATTCCATGTCCCCTTACGCTCTGTAAGGAATGACAAGGTGCTGTTTGCTATATAATTGAGTCATGCTACTAGGGCTGGGTGACTGGGCTGGAAGAGTCTTAATTACTATATACTTATAAACACAATAAGTACAAGTGAACCTAATTGTTTTTGATGTTAAATTGCAAAACACTTGTGCTGCCGTTGAGGTGGGACCCGGCTAAGGTTATTAAGGTAAGATTAAGGGTGGGTCAACAGTGTAAATATAGATATAATTACAGAAATTAATTACAGCTTTAACCATAATGATCAAATGATTCATTTAAATGTTAGTACATAATGCGGCAGACAAATGGGACCTCTGGTGAACGCAGCCTTCGAAGTGAGACATAGCTAATGTATTTCTGGATCAAAATGATGGAGCACATTTATCGAATATTGGAAAAACACGAAAGTTAAAGCCTTGCCAATCGAATTCCTTAAGCACAAAAAGACACGAAAGGGAACCCAATTCGTTACAAGTTTAAACAACGGAAGTACGCACTCAAAAACAGCGCGCGGATACTGAATAGAGTTCTCTTTCACGTCTTGCGCTTGAACGGACATATTCAAACTTCCCGTTTTGGCAAGTATCCTAGTAAACATAACATAGCCAGTTATGTCTTTACTGAACGTAACCAGTTAAGAAAATAAAACGCATGTGTAACGGTATATCGAATCCATGCATTAGCCCTTAAAGTGACAACAGCCTAATTTCCCTGCAGCTGTCACCCTGGACGAAAAACCAGGGACTAGTTCTCAAAAGTAGGTTAACATATTCGTGAATATTTAATGAACGATTGATTGACAGCAATGGTTCCAGAGGCAAAGTTGTTTAGCATGATGAGATCTATCCAATGATATGCATATTGAGGGGATGGGTGCAACACCACGTGTTTACAGAGCCGTAAAACTCGTTAGCGCCAACTAGTGGCCGATTTCTTTCAAAACTCTTAAGCCCGGAACACACCAAACCGACGGTCGGCCGTCTGGCAGATTTTGTGCGTCGGCCAACTAAGTTTCCTCGGTGTGATACGCACGGTTCCGTGCCGTTGGCTGAAAATAGTCCTCGTCGGCTTTGTTTCGCCCGATTTGACATGTTGAATCGGCGTCGAGCCGTTTGGGAAAGAGAGAACTCTGATTAGCTGTTCAGCTTAGTAAAGTGCGGCTTTTTACTTGGACGAGAGCGGACGAGAGGCGACAACACAGTTGGCTTTCATCAGCGCTAGTTCATTGGCGTCGGCTTAGGCCCCGTCCACACTACTGCGTTTTCGTTTAAAAAAGAGACATTTTGCTACCTTTGCACCTCCCGTCCAGACTAAAACGGGAAAAACGAAGACCTAAAACAGAGAAGTTTAGAAACGCTGCAGGTCCGTTTTGCATTTTGAATCTCCGGAGGGCGTTTTAGTGTAGATGGGGAGTTTATAAGCGATGACGCAGAGGCTGACGCTCGGCTCTATGATTGGGTGTTATCAGTCATGACGTATCCTTCCCTGATTCGCCAACCACTATTTACACCGGCACGCGCATGCCCAGTGTTGGTGAATGGTCACGTGATTCGCGTTTTCAGTCGTTTTAATGTGGACGGAGATCATTTCTAACACGCAGATAAAACGCTGGTGTGAACGAAGATTGTATTCGTTTTAATTCTCCGTTTTTAAAACGAAAACGCAGTAGTGTCGACGGGACCTTAGTGTCTTCCGGGCTTTACGGACCTCTTAGGTGATGAGTCGAACACGCCCATCGAGTTCAAGGACATGTTTTTAATGTTAATCAATCAACAGAAGACAAATCAATCACTCTTTGCTCTTGACTGAATAACTTTTGCAACTTTAATAAGGATTAATCTGTTAAAAATATTTATGTTGCCATTGGCAGGTGTGACAAAAAGTAAATTATAGACCCCGCTAATAAACGTAATGCCTATGCCTTGTGTGTGTTTATTTCAGGGACATCTTCAAGGTGAGTACTTCAGGTCAACTTTAAAACAAAAAGTGTGTTGACTGGTTTATACCCGTGTCGGAGTCTGAATCTGAGCGGTCTATCCCTCCAACACTGCTGACGATGTTCAGCAGATGAATTGCGGTCCAGGCAAAGGGCATCCGGAAACGTCCCAGCCTAGTGCACATCTGCTCGGCCTGAGCCTTCAACTTCTCCAGCTTTTCCTTATGCTGCATATACACACACACACAAAGGTGAAAAAAAACAGTGAAACAATTCAGAACAACCATCTGGGTTACACAGCCCCATTTTAAAGGTAATGGATGAGCAGCGTTTGTCATGCCCTTTCAAACTTGGCAGCAGAATTATACAGTGGCAGTAACGGGCTCCAGCATCTACTGGACCTTGCTCATATTGAAAAAGAATGACAAATATTGCGGTAGTCCAGATCAAGTTGAGAAACCCTCAGAGGATACCATAATCATGCCAGATGTGTCTGATGAAATACTACTGGAAAAACCCATGGTACACTCGTACCTTAGTGGAGTCGGATTCCTTCATGACCATGTATGGCTCACAGCATTCGCCAATATCTCCCTGTTGAAGGACTTTCTCCAGCTGAAACACAGACACAGCAGAGCTCAACAATAAGGATGTCCCAAACTGTCACACACATATATCCACATAGTGACCGGCTTAAATGTCAGGACTCTTCTTTTTCAGCCAACAAGAAAAGGAACTATATCAATCAAGTTTTACCCACTAAACTCTTTGTCTTGTTGCCTCATCCAACCTCTCTAAAGCTTAAACTCCTGACATTCTTATGAAAAATATCTTGATGCATAGAATTCCATTTTAAAAAGTTGTGCTAGTGGAAACTGATCCACTGATTCTTTTCTTTAATGAATAGAAAGCTTAAAAGAACAGCATTTATTTACAAACAGAATTCTTGCTGAATATTAAGTAAGTGAATATATAAATAAATACAATTATATTTATTACATTTTTTATATTAAAAATAAAATGCATATTTATTTGCAGTAGAAATGTTTTAGTAAACTCCTAACTAAATAAAACAAGCTGTGCGACAGTTACCTCAATATACGTCTGTATGCAAGTTTGAGGGACCTAAACTAAATACATACACCTCTCTTTAGCTATGCATGCCATTGGTCGCCGACCCCTGTCCTAGAGTTCCCCCGGGAACCCTCTGTCGGACATGTGGCACTGCGCCCCCTGCTGGACATACCTTAATGACTAGAAAGATGTCAGGAGATGGGTATG